TTTCTTCAATTAGAAGGCTTTCGGGAGCTGCAATTTTCTTGTACTGTTGTGCAGCAGCGCCTCGTACAACGTTGCCGCACGTCAAATTTGACTCCGCCCTGTTGATTCTAAACAGTTTGTCGTCCACGACAGTTGTATTCGTACTGGACATATAGATACTGCATATTACACCCTGAAAAACGTGCGATTGAATGGTCAAAATAGGTTCTATACAGAGCAATCCCTCGAGAAAGCACCAACAACCTTGAAATCTGTTCCTTCCACCACCTTCCGTCCCCCCCCCCTCCTTCCTTATCTAGCAGATTGACCTATCGGTGAGTTACAGGCGTGGTGTGGTGATTGGAAGTACTGAATGAAAAGTGGAGATGGTCCAGCTCGGAAGAAACCCTATCAAAAGTGGCCTTCCTCTCAGTAACCAGTACGTAAGATCAGTTGACAGAAGGGCAGAAAGGAGCAAAAGAATCAAACTCCCAACTCATCATAAGATCATTATCGACTTTTCTTCTGTAGAAAAATCTCTACAACCAAAACATGCCAAACTTATTTATTAAGCCACCAGGCCTACAAGTAGGAACGGAAACACAAGACGAGCCTCCAAATTTTCGATGGATATTTCTTCCCTGGGAGAGAACAATGCGTTAGAGAGCGCAGCAATTTGGAGAGCTCAAAGAATTTTGTATTTCCCCTTTATAGACTGAAGAGTTTCTCATTTGGTAATGCTGATCATAGAAAGTGAGTGGTAGGGGAGATTAGGATTCCATCAAGGGGAAGCGCCAGCGTACTCGTGATAGTCTTTCGGGGATTAAGTTCCTTCCGTAAAAGGGGAATCATGTCTATCGCTATCGCTTACTTTGAAATTTGCTCAGAGATAAAGTGAGCTGACCACTTTCAGGCAGGGCCACGCTGCGCTTTTTCCCACATTTTTCTTTTTTACACATAAAAAGTAAAAGGACAAAGTCATTGGCGCACTATATCACACACACGGTCAGGGGTTCGAATCCCGGATCGATCCCGGATCGATGCCCGTGTACGAAAGCATCAGTTTTTTTTACACATAGAATGAGTTAGATGTTTGAATAACCGTACTTCTGCCGTGTCGGATTTTTTTCTGGCTTGGCCAATGTTGATTATAAAAAGCGAGTGGTAGGGAGATTCGGATTTCGTTCATGGCACACGCAATCATCCT